ACACACACACAATCATACACACACAAACACACTCACACATTCTCATGCACACTCTACACGCACACATGTGCTCACACGCACACACACACACACACACACACACACATACACATACACACTCATACACACACAAACACACACACACACACAAACACACACACACACATCTACTTGCTTATCACACGCGCACGCAATTACACATCGTCAAGCACGAAATGAGCACATAATATAATATATAATAAAATAATAACACATTGCAATTCACAAAATACATAAATGGATACATAGTCTTTTACATAACATTGTACTGAACATGAATCTACTGACATAAAAATGATACCATTAAATGTGTTTTTAAAGATTTTTAAAATTTAGACTCAGACGTTGTATGTCTCAAGGGTTGGGGAAGAGAGTTCTGTATGAACTGGCACAGCTTCGCTTGGGCAGTAAGCATTGAGGAAATAGATTGCTCAAATATTGCTTCTCTCTCTTCGGATTCTAACTTCTTTTGATACGCTCTAAAAGAGAGCAATGGTCAATTCATTTGAAATCCAGGAAGGAGTAAGGCGTGACTTGCTTTGTATGGGTGAGATAGGGATGTTTTTTAAAAATAGTATGGAATTTTTTAATGTCGTATTTTCCCCTGGTGGCGGTCTAACGGCCTCCTCGTCTACGATAATCTGCCAAACCGGACTGGAAAGGGATTAAATTCAGAGGTTCCTTAATTAATAACCTTACAGTGTTGAAATGGGTTTTATATCAATACAACTTCCAAAGGGCAGCAACGTTAATATCAAGCGCAGCTAAAACATTGTAATCTTGGAATTATGGTAAAGGTAGATGGGGGCTCTCGTGGTCTAGAGGTTACGGTGTTCGCCTCTCATTCGAAAGGTCCAGGTACCAAACCTAACAGCGACTGTCAATTTTCTTCTCTAATATTTTCTCTTTTCACCCCCATTCCTGCTCTCAAACCATGTTCTGTCATCTGCTTTTGTCTCCACTATCTGCCCCCCTCCCGTTTCCCACTCCACTGGGTTAATGACTTTTTCTTCAGCCTTTCCACCTCTCCTCTTTGACTCTTTACTGCTGTCTTTCAGTCACACCCCTGAGAAAAGATAAAACACGTAGTCCCCTCGGAAAGGGCGAAAATCGCGGAGGTCCCAAATCGATAAGAGTCGGCTTCGGCCGCCACCCGCACAAAATTCAAAATCAATTCTTACCAAATAAAAACGTTTAATGCGTCCCTTGCGCTCATAATATTATGACCGCATGCAGTTGCTAGCGCCATAAAACATTTATCTAAACAACAAAAAACCCCAGATGGATGTGATTGATCTAACAATTGGCTCGGTGGTCCACTGGTTTCTCAAAGGCCTGCGTATCGTGGTGGACCTGAGCTACAAGCCACCCCGTCGCCGCGGGACCTCACAGGGGGGCAGCGACTGCCACACGGATTACGTGCACGTAGGGAATGACGTCAGGCGCGTGGACGTCAGCGTGATGACGTCATTCAAATTTTGCGAGGAAGACGCCGAGCAAGAGCTGGTGTCCAGAGGCAACCATCTGTGGCTGGCTTACAAAGCTTCCAGAAGGCCGCAGAGGTTGATGGTCCGGCTAGAAGCCAGAGCTCCAGGTGACAGATTTATAATTTATGATATTTTACCCAGTAACGCCTATATCTCATGTCCTAAATCATCATTATTACCGAATGTCATCATCATCATCATCATCATCATCATCATCATCATCATCATCATCATCATCATTTTTGAAAAGGCAGAATATGAAGAGAGAGTCTTGGTTCTTTTTCAAGAGAAAATATTTTTAAAAACAACAAAAAATCCCTCCCAACACGTTTGTTAAAGCGGGTCAAAATTTCTCCACGGGAGCTTCTTCGGTAACAGCTGTGCGTAAAACTAACGTCCAGCGCTGTATAATTATGTATCGAGGAAAGAGGCCTCTCACAAAGAAGGTCTTGAAGGTAGTTACCAAGCAGACCGGACGAGACTCAGTGTGCGCCTGGTCAAAGGGCTAATTATAAAGAAATCAATGCTCGTCTTGCAAGTGTATCAAAACACTATTATCTTTCTGCACGCATGCGAGTACTCTAGCCTGCGTCAGGACGAGTTTCACTTACAGAAACGTAAACACCACCAGCAGCAGTGGACAACAACAACCACAACAATAACAACCATAATAACGACAACAATAATAACAACAACATTAGCAAAAACAACTGCAACAACAGCAACACAACTCTCGTGTCAACCACAGGATGATAGACTAACACCACCTGCAGCAGTAGAAAACAGCCTCTCTTGTACCATAGCCAAAAATCACAAACAACAACAACAATAACAACAACAACAGCAACAACAACAACAACAACAACAACAACAATAACAACAACAACAGCAACAACAACAGCAACAACAACAACAACAACAACAACAACAACAACACACTTCACTTGTCTCCCACAGAGTGATAGTGATAGTCCACAACCACTATCACCACCAGCAGAAAACAACAGTAGCACCACAGCCAAACAAAACAAAAACGATAACGACAACGACAACAACAGCAACAGCAACAGCACAACTCATTAGTTCACCATGGGATAGTAGCCCAACACCAGCAACAGCAGCAGCAGTAGTAGAAAATAACAACAGCAACAACAACAGCACAACAACAACAACAACAGCAACAACGACGACAACAACAACAACAACAGAAACAATAGCACAACTTACATGTCCAGGATGGGACGGTAGCCCACCACCACCACCACCACTACCATCATCACCACTACCATCATCACCACCACCCCCACCAGGAGAAAACAACAGCAACAATACACAGAGAAGTAAAACAACAACAACGACAACATGAATGGCTACAACAGCAACAACAATAACAACAACAACAGCAACAACAACAACAACAACAACGGTAGCAGCAACAACAACAACAAGAACAACAACAAAAACAGCACCAGGGTCAAGTAAAACAACAGCAACAATAACAACTATTACTATAACATTAACAACAGCAATAACAACAACAACAACAACAACAACAGAAACAATAGCACAACTTACATGTCCAGGATGGGACGGTAGCCCACGACCACCACCACTACCATCATCACCACTACACCCACAAGAAGAAAACAACAGCAACAATTACAACAGAGAAGTAAAACTACAACAACGACATGAATGGCTACAACAGCAACAACAACAACAACAACAACAACAACAACAACAACAACAACAACAACGGTAGCAGCAGCAACAACCACAACAACTACAACAACAACTACAACAACAGCAGCACCACAGTCAAGTAAAACAACAGCAACAATAACAACTATTACTATAACATTAACAACAACAACAACAACAACAACAACAACAACAACAACTCACTTGTTCACCACGGGGTGGTAGCCCAGTAACAGATCGTACAGTACGAAGGGCGAAGAATAAGCTTCTATGATGAGGTCAGCTATAGCCAGGTTAGCCACGAACACATAGTGCAGGGAGTGGAGGGACGAGCACTTGATCAACGTCAGCAGCACAAGGATGTTGCCCAGTGTACCACTGAGGAGATAGAGGGGGAAATCATTCCAATTTTCGGTTATTTCTGCGCTCATACCGACACAAGTTAGTGTACACTAAGCTTTTGTTGGGGGGGGGGGGGGTTCCGCTCTCACTTATTTACGCACATCTACCTACCTACCTACCGATCTACTTACCTACCTATCGACCTACCTACCTACCAAATTGATGCCTGCATACATACTCGTACATACGTGTATACACGCTGGCAAATATAAATGCATACAGGGTGATCCCCCACAAAAACTGTTCAACTTTTTTCTTCTGAATATCTGGCACAAAATTTGTTCGAGAATGTTGTAATTTGGAACAGATATAATTCATTCAAAAGGAATTTGTTCGACATAACATTCATAAAGAAGAAACTTGGTTTCGAAAACGGAAATGGCTTTTACAAAAATCACCTATAAATGAAAAATGCGCCAATTTAAAAGATCTTGTGATTTAAGGATTTAATGATTGGTTTGTTTTCGCCTTCCTTTTCTTATAAAAATTTAATCTTTCCACCCCTGTAACATTTTATTAATATTATTTCTTTTGTCTAAAAGAGCTTCAGAATTTTTTTTCTATTCTATAATTTCGAAAAAGAGTGCTCCATATATCCGACTAGGGACTCGTCACATTTTAACGCGGCGCTCGTAATGTTCAGTGGTGGCCAAAAACAAATATCCACCCAACCATGAGTACTCAAAGCTACACACACTGTCTTCTGATTCGTGTCAGCTACGCGAACAGGAAAATGGTACAATGGAAGATAAAAATCTTCCCTGAAAATGCAGATTTAGATGTAGGAAAGTCTTTGCTGCAGACATCGTCTACGAACAAACGTCTCAAGGGGCTCATCTTCCGAATTATGCACCCTGGTGACGTTTAAAGTGGTGGGAACGGTGTGTATTTGATCTGAAGTGGTCGTTTTGTCTCGGAATTGTTTTGTTCTGATTCTCAACAGATCCTAATTGATGGGCCATTTCAACCCTTGACATCAAATAAGGCTTTAAGGGCACTTTAACATTGTTACTTCACCATGTGCGAAACTTACGAATAAGCTCTCTGCTCGTTACTAATTTTAACCATGATCTCAGCGGGCAAACTGATCTGTAACAAAGAAAGATACAGAAGGTCATTTTCTCCCTCAACCATCAAAATTCCTCCATCTTAACCGTCTTGTATAAGTATTCATATGACCTTAGAGCATGCTTCAGAATAAGATGAAGTATGTAACGAGCTTAAGATTATTAAGGTTTATATTGCTGCTCATTTATATAATGCATATGATTGTATGCCTGTGTGTGTAAGTGTGTGTGTTTGTGTGTTTGTGTGTGTGTGTGTGTGTGTGTGTGTGTGTGTGTGTGTGTGTTGTGTGTGT